TTCACCAACCGTCCCTTTTAAGGTCAGCTCCTGTCCAGAACTGACCTCAGGCAGCAGGGCTAGCCCCGGAGGTAACAGTGGAGCAGAGCTCACACAGACTGTGGCGAGGGATGAACGAGAAAAATCCCTCCAGCAGAATCGATCACCAGCTCCTGAGAGTCAAGCAAGCAGCCCCAAACAGCCTGCAGCTGAAGGAGCTGGTGATGCTGCACCTCTACGACCGCCACCAGTGACCAGCTGGCAGAAGGTAGTTGAAGACTATAACGAGGCCTCCAGTGACGATGAAGACCGACTGGTCATTGCCACCTGAAACCCTCAAGTGGAAACACTTCTTCTTCTCCTTTTGTAATTCTTGTCACTTTGTAAGACTGAAAACACTTTTCAGGGGTTTGTTTCTCAGCAAATCACCTTTCAAAGCACAGATGCTGACATTCATATTGTACGTGCAATCATATGACAGTTATGATGATGATGACCAATCATTTAATTTTTTTTTTTTCCAAATTGTCAGCTCCAGACAGTTTTTTTTTCTTTTTTTTTTTGTACATGTTGTATAGACAATTGTGCCTTTATGGAGTTTCTTGTTTAGGAATCTGTACATAATTCCTTATAAATTCAGTCAATGCTTGTGTTTAATTCAAAAAAATAAAAAAGAACCATAATACTGGATGATATCAATTTTATTCTGGAGGATTCGTCATTCGTAAATTTATGGAATTATAAATGTTGTACTTGTATATGTACATTTCTATGGATTATCGGGCAATGTTTCTGTGTACAGATGTTGTGTTCAACTATTTATTATAATCCATCTAGTGCCCATTATGACCCATAAGTCCATAGGTATGTGCATTATGGTAGCTTTACATTGCTGTATCAATATTCTTAACTGTATCAGTAAAAAAAATTGTTTATAAACCTTTAAACTGTCTTATACTTGATTGATTAAACACTTACTGCATTAAAAAAGAGGCTATTTGTCCCTCTGAACACCTGCAAACCTCACTCATTTCCAACAGTAAACATCAGTTTACAGGCTGTGCTTTTATATACTGGAAATCGACAGAATTGAGCCAAGAAAACACACTCCTGTCATTAAATGTAGACTTTAGTTTGCTTCTTCTCTAATAAAAGCTACTTTCATCACAGCAGGTAGCTGCACATGTTTGATTTGGCAGATTTATTTATTTATTTAACACCTGATCCCACCCCAGAGGAATTTGGAGCTTTCACGTGTTAGGCAAATGTGTAAACCACTACACTATGGATGTATAGTTAATGATGCAACATCAGAAATGCTCCAGTTAGTGATCTTAACATACACTTACACTTCATGTTACTCTCATCTTACTGGTTCATCAGTTACATGAATTATTATTGGTCTTCTCAGACTTGTAGCCATTACTAGAGCAAGATTGTCATTAGACAATTTTTGTGTCAGACTTGTGAATCGGTTACAGGTGACAGGTGGAGTGTTTCAGTCTAACAATAAATAAATCAATTACATTTCCTGGAAATACTTTAAAGCTTATGTTTTAAAACAGAACTGGATTTGCGATGATAAGCTTGGTTTTTAGAGTTTTTCGACTTTATTTTAAAACTCGGAAGTTTTACAGACCAAACAGGAAAAGATCTGAAAGATGAATTAATGAGCAAATTGTTTGTTACAACTGCAAATAAAATAACACACTTGCCCAAAGGGATTTCATTACAAAATGAACACATTAATTGCGTGTCATTAATATCTGGTTCCCCAAAGCAATTACATCAAACTGCCATGTGAAGCACACATATTAATCTTAATAGTTTAAACCATGAAAATATGCTCTGCAGAGCCAAAAATGGAGCTTCTTAAATTCCAAGTAGGTGGTTATGTTTGTTTTCAGTGTTCAGACTTGAGTTTCTTACCTCTCACAAAGATGATGTTGCACACGTTTGCTTCAGCACTGATGTTCTGTGTTCTAACCTTTGCATAGACCTGAGCAGAATGAAAATCAGCATGCTCACTGGGCTGTGTTAAATGATGAAAAAATACTGCAACAATCTTGAACCATAGTTCAATCTTTTTTTTCTTTCCTTTGTTTTTAAATGTATCACTTACTACCACTGTTTAATGATAAACATTCCCTAAATATTGCAATTTGTTGATTTCAACGAGTAGAATTCGATCTAAACTTCGAATTGATTTTATTTTATACAAATAAAAAAAAGTGACGATATGGAGAGCTCAAACATGGCAAATTGGCCTCAGCGAGGGAAACTTCCCTGTCGTCTTAAGAGGTTTTCAGTGATAACCTCCTTGTTCTTCATCATTCAGAAAGGTGACTCATCCATCCACACTGAAGACTAATCCTCCCACCCCTCCTCCCTCAGGGCTGGCTGCTGTGGGTGAAGCTATAGCAAAGCAAACAGAGACCCCTAGAGGTCAAGATCTGCTACACTGATGAAGCGAAGAGCCAAAACAGAAGAAAACCTGGGCTGTTTCTAGAGGCTTAAGCACACCATGCATGATTTAAACTTGAGTGCCAGAATTTTGAATCCAAGCCTTACAAATCTGCTCGTGGTGCAGCTCCCCTGCTTTGCTTCTTTCCTGGACAAACTTGTTTTCCCAGCCAGTGGAAACTCTCGAGGCCAGTTTCTATGTAGGGGCATCAGAGCACGACAGGATACTTTACCTAAGACTTTTCCACTATGGGCATGCACACACATGCAAACAAGACCAATTTTCCACTGCTGCCCACAGCAAAGTGTGTCTGAAAATGAAGTACCCCTCGGTTTCCACGGTTTATTACAACTGGTGATGGAGGGAAACCATCAGATTAAGGAGCTGCTAGGGAGTCTGCTCCAACTTGTGATCGCAAGGTGACGCAAGACAACAGACAATCACAAAATACCCTACATGTTACAAACATTAATGTCATATGTGGAATTCGACTACAATTAATCTGTAAATAGGACACTCCATTTGGCCCATACTTATCAGCTGAGATGTTTAATCTCCGGCAAAAATCATGACCAAAAGGACCCCAGAAAAAGCTGTTTGCTTCGGTTATGTAATGTATTGTTTCAGGCAAACAATGCTGTGAAGAACAGAGAGAATGACTCACATTAAACTCACTTCTTTTTTCCAGCTCATGAACAAGCAGACAAACATTTTGATCCGCAGCAGTGCAGATTATACAAAGAGTGGACGACACGAGTCCCACTACGAACACATGCTGGCTTCTTAAGAAAATGCTGGAATATCTTATTAGAGGCTGTGATTAAGTGGATTCACAGCAGACAATACTTTGTACTGTTTCACAGTCTTAGATATTGATATGTGTATTGAAGTAGCAAATGAAGGAAGAAACAAATTGCATTGTGCTGTAGAGGTCTAATCAGGTGCATACTCCATTTAAGCTTTCTTTGAGTTTATTTTCCCGTCATGAAACAATATGTGAGAAAGTTTTTCCACTAAAAATGATCATGCTGCTCTCTGTTTTTCACAGGTTTAGTCAGTGAGTGGGTGTATTCATGGTTAGAGGTTTACAATGAGTGTATATATTCATTAAAAAAGGTATACTTACATTTTTAGACTAATCTTTACACTAATAAAAATAAAGTTGAATTTTTTGGGTCTTTTCTTGCGCTTTAATTTGGGGGTTTTTCCCCCCAATGTGTAGATCACAGGTCAGATTTAAGACACTACAATTCTAAAGAAAAGTTGAGATCATTATCTAAGTTAAGGGGAGGTGCAGTAAAAAGAGTGCTGGAGACTGAACCAACACTCACTGCTTTAAAGCCTTTGTGCCAGTATGGATGGCACTGCCATCTGGGCACTACTGCTTTTTTCTTTTGTGTCTTTAAGCTGTTATGCTGCTGTAGTTTGAAAGAATTATTTCACTTGCACCGACACAATACGGTGCATTTGTTATCATTAGAATGTAAAATTATTATGCCTGTTATACTTTTACTTGACTGCGTTTTTGTTATTTTTAAAGCTCCAAAACCATATAGTTTCTCTCCACCACCTGAATATCTGATCCTGCTGAAGGCACATACCATACATACCTACACATACCTTTCATGGTGGTTTCTAATTAGTCTCTACCTCCCTTTGGGTCATGGGTAATCTGCAGGTACCTGTTGTCTGCTTCACACAAGAAAATGAACCACTCCTTTTCCCCTTCACAAAGTTTGCCTCCTTGTCACCATCAGTTGCGACCGTTGTTGCCTACAAATAAGATAAAGCTAAAAATATTAATTCATCCTCTCATTAAAAAAGGACATGAGGCACTTTTAAATTCCACTCATCACTTTTTGTGCAGATAATGCACAAAATGGTATATTTAGTACTAAATACCAAGTCACGTGTACGGGAACCAAGGCCTTACTTAATGGAAGTTATCAAAAACAACAATATGTATTTAATTGTTGAGTATATTAAGCCTGGCTGTTAACATGTTTTTATTATAATCCTGGGGACATTTTTTAATTTTTCAGAAAAGGTTAAGGCATCTTTATTGAGGTTTATTTTTTTATGCAGGAAACACTGAGTAATTTTCAGAAAGAACTCATGCTGATACACTTTAAGTGAAGCATCAACATTTATTGTAGTTCTGTGTGCTTCAGCTATATTTCTGCTAAATAGCCCCAAGTCCCCTCTGACGCTGATGTATTAAACGTCTACAGTGAATATTTGCAAAAGCAGAAATGCTGTCACTAGACTGCCACCTGCTGTCTAATCAGAGCACCACTAGATGAGTAAGGCTCAGGTCGCATTTACTCGCCTGGAGTCTCCCCCCACACTCTCCACACCCCTAAACTTGGAACCAAAGCATCTCAAACTCCTCAACTTGGCCTGCACGGCCCCTTATCAGGGACCAACTGCTAACAAACATTATTGTCTGGGTACAAGCCAAAGGACAAAACTGTACAGCGCTGCAGGGGGGGGAGGGGAGGTGGGAAGCACTTGTACTATAAAGTCAAAGGGCTGCACATGTGGGCCCATACTGACAACAGAGACTGTAGACCGACGCTTCTGCGCTCCTGCGCGAATCTCCGAGGACTCTCGCTGAAACGCTCTGAGGGATACACGCTCGTTTTCTCACCTCTGAAGGATTATTCATTTTCTTCAGCACTACTTTACTGCAAATTATGGATATATACGTTTGGATTTCCGTGTTATCAGTGATGTCCTCCTGGATTTCCTCCACAGGTAACTTTTGCGAGATTTTTCCAACCACTTATAAACTTAATTTTACGTAAATTCCAAAAACACCGAGCAAACCACTCACCATGCTGAGTGAAAGCAAATCAAATCAAAAACATCCCCAGCCTGCAGTTATGCAGATTAGTCTCAACTTCTCTTTAGTTTAATAGCTTGTAGATTGTGTTTTGATAACGACGCTGTAATTACAGTCCTGTCGGCCCCCGCCGGAGACGCGCTCACCGCCTCCACCGTCAAAGAGGGGCGCCATGTGCGGACCAAACGCTGTTCCTGCGCATCGTTCGAGGACAAGGAGTGCGTCTATTTCTGCCACCTGGACATCATATGGGTCAACACACCTGAGTAAGTATTTTTAAGTGTGGTTAGTGGTCTCCAGCAGCGTGTAAACATGTGTAAAGAGAAAGTAAATCGCTTAGATTGATGTTTGACGAAGTTTTGCGACGGTTTGGGAGTAAATTATGCGTTTTTACTCTCTTTAAGCAATCTCCGATTATTTGTATTTTTGCAAGTGAAAGCGAAACAACAAAATTGAATCGCATTCAACAGTCTTCTGATATGTTTTTAAGCATGTTTAGTTTTCAGTTTTTGACTCTTTGTTTTAGTTTTATGATTCTAACTGTGTCTCTGTCGCATCCAGGCGCGTGGTCTCGTACGGACTGGGCAACGCTCCGCGGAGGCGGCGCGCGCTCGCGGACTCCAGCGCACCCAGGAGCGTACCTCGCTGCCAGTGTGTCCGGGAAAACGACAACACCTGCCTGAACTTCTGCTGGCCTGAAAACCGCCTAAGGTGCGCTTCACACAGCCAAATCATATTTACTGACAGTGACACCAAAAGACGCTCCCAGTCCGTCGTTCTTGCATTGTCTCCATCACATGTGGCGACAGGTTTTGTGTAGAAAATGAATAACTGAAATGTGATCCTGTTCTCATCGCGTGTTTCTGCTCCCGCTCTCAGGTATGAGACAACGGCCGACGTGGTGATTCGCTTCCCCGGGGGCGACGACGGTGCTGGGGCGCAGCGCAAACACAAGCTGGCAGCAGACACGGACAGGATTAAGAGGTAAAACAACACGCTTGCACTAAAGAGGGATAAACACCGCAGTATTTGCAAAATAAAGAAGGCAATTACAACCAGGGACATTAAAAGGATTTTTTTTTAAAATAGGGAGGGACTGGAAGGACAAAGAACAAGGCAAAAGAAATCAAAATATTTGATTTGAAATCTATAGAGGGCATTGTTCTCATGCTCCCATGTGGCCCTGTGCCATAACACAGGACAAAGTGGCACAGTGGAAACAAGCATTTGATCTCTTTACTTAAAAGTCACAATCTTACTTAACATTCTCAAGGTTTTAGCATCAAAATACACTCAAAGTAAAGTACTTCCTACACAGAATCATATACATGATACTGTGGGTAATAATTCTTGTTTGTTACTTTCATCCTGCAGCCGGTGAGGATTTTAAAATCATTTAAATACTTCTGGGTAGTTTAATTTATAATAACAGCAACATTTCTTAGTTGATTCATATTTAAAAATCACCATTAGTTAAATTAAAGCTTTGAAAAAAATGACTAAATAGAGTAAATAGTACTATATTTGTATTAAAAATGTAGTGGAGTAGAAGTAAAAAGCTGTAGATACATAATTAAAAGTGCTTTAACACTTTTGTCCAATTCTAGTCCAATAGCACTTTTGATGCTGGTGGCCGTGCAGGGGGCCGTGCACCACCCCATGGCCACCCTCTGTACTCGCCCCTGTACAACCTCACAGCAACGCGGAGGTCCCTTTGTAGCGTGAAATATGTCAGCTCTTGTGAGCGTAAAACCCCGTGAGCCTGCAGGATAAAAACAGCCAGCACGTGTTTCAGAGGCAGAAATTTAGAGATTAACCCCCAAGCGAGGAATTCCTTGAAACTTCTGATGCCTGAGCTGCGTTATAAATTCCATGAAACTCCTAGGATCGTGTGGAATTCACCTCGAGTAAGCTCTGCCACTTTACGTCGCTTAACTGTGGGAGCCGTGTGGGTAAAGGAGCCGCGTTCATGTGCTGTCATGTCTCAAAGTTTGCGGCGCCACATGTCTGTACTTTCTCACTTATTAATAATTGGAATCATAAAACTCCAAACATCCATCTTCTCGAACCACTCAGGAGTAACAACTTTGTTTTGAATGTGTTTGACTGACTGCTCCAATTCACACGCCTGCTTTTTACATAATCTGCAAAGTCACTGGTTTGCATGTCTAATGGCTTTATGCCTTTATCTACAGGTTGAAGAACAACAGTGATAAACGGGCACTGCCTCCAGCGCTCAGGGCTGCGCTGAAAACCCGCCTGCTCCTGGAGAAGTGGAGGGTGAGACAGCACCACAGGGCGAGAGCATGGGAGGGCGAGAGCGTGGCCTCCTAAAGAAGACTGCTTTCCTCTGCACTTTGTCATACAGAGGCAGGAAGGGGCTTTAAACCTTCTCTAAAGCCAGCGGGGACTTCTGTGCAGCAGCGCCCCTCAGGAAGGAAGTGGGTAGCCAGCATAAGGCCGGCTATAACCGACTCCATGTCGGTTTCACGAGTGCAGCAGAGCAGAGAGCACAGACAGCTCGACCGGGCTGCACTTCTTCAGACGCCAGAATGACGTCAGAGACATTACAAGGAGTTCAGGTGAAAGGAGACAAGCTGAAAAAGAGAACTTGGCCACAATCTGCAAAAATCAAGGACACTCATTGATCTTTTCAGATGTCACGGTCAGAGACTCACGCTTATGGACTTTACAAACAAACAAACAAACAAAAAAAGCAAAAAAACAGACACCAAATAACATTTCATAAAGCTGATATTACAGAGAGGAATGTACTCAAATCTTTCTAACAGAATAAAAAAAAAAATCTCTGCTGTATATTCTGAAAATGCCATAGTTTCTTTTTCCTAGCACACAACTGCAATAACAGATCATCTGTCAGTAAAAGGGATTATGTGCCTTGTATCACGGCTTTGCTCGAGACATGTTTTCACTGACTGAAACTGTATTTACCTAACAGGGTGTCTCCTGTGTGTCAGCTGCTGGGAGCCTTTTTTTGTATTCCAGATGTTATCACCGATTTCTTGCCATTCACTCATCATAATTTATGTTTTCAGTAACTTTGTTGCTTACATGTGCTGCTCTCTATTTATTTATCATTTTTTACACATTGTAATTCGACGGCCATATTGGTCAATCCTTTGTTTGTTTGGTTTGTCATTTCTGCGAAATGATTGGTGGCCAACGTGCCGAATTCTGGCCAAACTTTAATAAATTTGATACGTTTATTTAAAAGCGACGGGTCGGCTCCTTCGTTCTTTTTGTCACGTCAAAGGTTCATTTTCCGCTGAAGAAAGAATGAATGTGGGATTAAAGTTTCTGAACTGGGACGAAAGCTGCATGTGTTCAGTATGCGGGGCTTTAAGTTGGTAAATAAAAAAAAAAGGGAAAGTCAGAAAGCAAAGTGTGAGTAACAAGATAAAGACAGACGAACTGAGAGGTAACAAGAAAGTGCAGATGTGGAATACAACAAGGCAAAGAGCAGTCAAACGCAGCTAAACATGCCCTTTCATCTCAGCAACAAACCTGTGTTTACACTGCAATTTCTAAACGAGCTGAAAGTGGATGTTGGGTTTCTTCCAGCAGCTCGCGGTTTATGTTCAACCCTGTGAGATGTGTCTTTTCTGTATCCACCTCAAAGTTTCAACATTTTATCGCCAAGTGACTCAGCAAAGTACAGCGCGTGTCACTCTTATGTAGTTCTCATTCCAACCTGCCATGGCCTCCCAGCTCACCTTTAATGATCATTACACATACAGGTCATTATGTACGCTTGCTGTCTCCTCGTCGACCTTTACCACTCCTCCTCCTCCAGGGGCAACTGTTCTCCTCTCAGGAGCTTCCGTGCATATCTTTTAATTTAATCTTGGCTCGTGAGTCAACTTCGTTTTATTTCAGTAAATCATTCATCCAGCTATTATCACTGCTGCAAAAAGAAACCCTAGAGCCATGGAAATGTCAGCTTTGAAGGAATTAAGAGAAATTAGTGTATGGACTTCTGGGCTAGTACTGATACTGACATGAGACTGATATAAATGGCCTGTAAATGGTAAATGGCCTGTATTTGTATAGCGCTTTTACTAGTCCCGCCTAGGGACCCCAAAGCGCTTTACACGTCCAGTCATCCACCCATTCACACACTGGTGGAGGCAAGCCACAGTTGTAGCCACAGCTGCCCTGGGGCAGACTGACAGAAGCGAGGCTGCCATATCGCGCCATCGGCCCTTCTGGCCAACACCAGTAGGCGGTAGGGTGAAGTGTCTTGCCCAAGGACACAACGACCGAGACTGTCCGAGCCGGGGCTCGAACCGGCAACCTTCCGATTACAAGGCGAACTCCCAACTCTTGAGCCACGATCGCCCACATCTGACATTTTAAAGATTCAGAGTTCTTCAGCTCTTCGTTACGGTATTTTTAAACATTTAGCATGACCAAAATTGACTTGACACAAATAATAAGTATCTGCCACAGAGAGTGGGGATGCAGATATTCAGCAATGTGCTGGTGCATCGTTTAAAATTAAAATCGGTCTCAAATGCTTAGAAGACAGATGTGGACTGTGGACTGTAACCTTCATCCTCAGCTGGGATTCTCCCACAGACAAGCAGGTTGGAAGAGCACAAGCCAACTGCAGCTGCATGGTTCAACTAAGTGTTTAAATAGAGGTCATAAAGAAAGCTGTCTGAAAACGAAAGTGTTGAAAATATGTTACTCTAGGATCCATCCATTTTATTAAGTGCTTATCCAATTTAGCATTGGGTGGGCACTGGGCTCTCTCCCAGCTGTCATAGGGCAAAAAGAAGGGTACACCCCTGTGCAGGTTGCTAGTCTATTGCAGGGCTAACACAGGAATGAACCCAACATCCATGTCTTCAGACTGTGGCAGGAAAAATTCAACTAAAAAAGACCTGTTGCCACAGATTTTTAAGCCCAGCTCCTGTATAATTTGGAATACTTTAGCTGTTTATCCCCATTTCCTTTCATCAAAAATGGGTTCATGACAGCCACCTTTACCCCTCAGTGAACATCTGAAGGGCCGGACACATCGCTCAGGTCCTCTGCCTGGTCTTTTCAGGATTTGCATGATTTGATCTTTATTTGATGTAAATAGTTTTTAGGTCTGTCCTCTTTTCGATCTCTACTAATCCAGTTTCCTCAAATTTTTTTAAGACACACTGCACACCATGCAGATATATGCATATAAGTGTTTGAAATCACGTTTTTGGTACAAAACAGCAGGTTGCTAGTAAACAAAGCACTTAAAGATACAGTTTAAAATTGGTTCTTTCTTTGTTGCCTGTTACGTTTAGACACAACGCTGCTTCACCCCTTGACTTAGGTCTGCAGACCTAAGTCAAGGGGTGAAGGAAAGTATAAAGAAATAATGGGGAGCACAAGACTTTTGAACAGCATTGTATAAAGTCATTTGGGCTAAAAACATCCAGGAGAAATAATGCTAATTGACAAAAAGCAACATTTCAGCCCATCTTTACTCACTTTCACGACATGTCAAAGTGACATGATGATAAAATGTAGCTTCATTAATATCCTAAACTTATAGTTTAAAAAAACACACCTGATTTTTTCCACATTTTGTCGATTACCTCTGGAATGACCCTGTAACCTGACGCCAAATATGCATATGCATGCATTAAACTCAGTAACGAAGCAAAACTTTGCTTTGTGTCTAGCAACCACATAAGCTTCACAGTAATACTGGACAGGACTCACAAAAACAGCTCAACCTACAGTTATATCATACATTAAAGATCTCCAAGCACTTATTCTTGCAAAGCAGAGATTAAAACAGCGTGAATCTGCTGGATTTATCTGTCAAACACATCCCTGCTCTTTAATGAACGTGATACAAGTTGGTTCGGCTCAAACACTGACATGCCCAGATTGTTCCGCCATCACTCATCAGTGAGCTGCTTGAACTAGCAGCTAAAAAACAATCCAATGCAAATTGGGTGAAAAGTCTTATCTATCCAGCCCATTTAGCAAACAAATCCGCGGTGGTTTCTGTGCCTCGGGCGTGCTGTAAGAAACACTGCTGTGTCCTCCCGCGCTCTGAGTCCAATCATAACAATGCTGAAGTCACATTTTCCACACAGACCTACTGTTTGTTTGCAAAACAATTTGGAGGCATGTCTGCTGCAGGAGACAGTCAGGACCAAAGATTCAGACAATAATGAGAAAGTTTAGATGACACGCAAAAAAGCTGGACGTAATCCCAGGTGCAGTGGTCAGCACAGACAAACAAAAATCCTGTTAATGGAAGCAGAAGCATGGATATGTCTCTGTGAAATAGAAGTACTAATGTGCAGACAAAATAGGCTTACATCTCTGACTCTACAGGCCCTGGTTAGCAGGAAGCAACAATATATGCAAAAAAAACAACAAATGAAAGAGCACAGCAGCACAGCTTAGGTTTAAAAAGCTCAATTTGAACAAACCACAAGACTTCTGGAACAATGTTTTAGACAGACGAGACAAAAGCCGAGATCTTTGGCCATAATGCACTGCAGCATCACAGTTGGAGAAAACCAAACACAGCAAATCAGCAAGCACAACATAAATTAAGCACGGTGGTGGAGGTGTGATTTGGGCTCATTTTGCAGCCACGAAGAACTCGTCTGTATACCGAAGCACTCTCAAGTCCCAGCGACAAATCTACAACAAAATGTTTGAAAAAGAAGGTGTTGCAATCGCCCTGCCAAAGTCCAGACATCGCCTCGACTGAAATACTGTGGGAGGACCTGACGAGAGCTGTGGATATGTGATTACCTGAAACAAAGATAACAATGTGAAGAAGACTGGGTCAAAATTCCTCCACAATAATGTGACACACTGATAAAGTCATAAAGAAAACAATTTGTTCAAGTCATTGCTGCTAAATATGGTTCCACTAGCTACTGAATCCTTAGTTTTTCACACACTGCATTCTTGCTTAGCTTTGGGTAAATAAATACTGACACACTGTCATATTTCCTGTATTGTTGTTCATCTGAAGCAGTATTTACCTAATCTTAAGAACTGCTAAGGACTAGATCATTTTTACCTACCTTTGAGCTAAAAATTTATTTTGAAAGAGAGACGTGGCCAAACCAGCAGCTGTACAAACTCTCAGCATATTAAAAATGGAACAAATACAATGAAACTCAACATATATGCAGACAGCTACGACAAAAAACACACGCTGTAACAACCGCAGGCCTCTTTTACCACAGTCTTTAAATTCAACAATAAGCGTGTTTAACTTTAGATTAAGTTGAGATCTCATGCGGTGAGGTGAGCAATATCTGAATGCTTCTTCCACAGGTGAAAATGAACAATAACAGCAATCCATTAAGGCATTCTTCTACATGCTCAGTCAGGTTAACGAATGTAATCCATGACATATAGGTGATGCACAACATCAGTGTTGGGTGGTGGCAGAAGGATTTGGATTTTGTAGTTGTGTAAAAGTGGCTACATCACAGCTCAGAAGGAAAACAACTGGAATTAAAATGTATTTAATCATCTTTAAGTATTGGTATGTATGTGGCCGTCGTTAAAACATAAACTTAAATTCTTACTACATTAATGCTGCGGTTGGTAAAAATGGAGTAAGGTAACGTAGTAAAGTAGTAAGCTCATCGTATGTTTTGATGGTAAGATAACAATAAGAAAAATCAACTGCTAAAGTACTGACAATATAAATATTAACAGACTTCTGCTGAAAAATGTTATATCACTGTGGCTCTTTTACAACAGTGACTGTGCAGTTTGTTGTCAGATTACTTTTATCAGCGTGATTGTTGCATGTTTACTTTTATGACTCTGTTCTTATCTCCTCAGCCTTTAAATGACCTCGATTTTACACCATGAGTCAGCTGTGGCTTTATTAGGTTCTCAGGCCTGCAGGATAATTGCTAAAAGGAGATGCCTCACTGTACCTGCACACTGATCAGGTTAACAGCATGCCAACGGACAGGGGGGTCTGAACACAATGGCACTGAGTCTGTGCTACGCAGCTCTGCGCAGAGAACTCCCCTGAGACATTAGCTTTTGGCATAACTCATTATTCTATTCAATAGAGCGAGCACAACATAATAGCCCATTACACATGAAGGAATCTCCTCGACTCGACAGGAATTCTCGAGCGCGGGAGCCGAACAATAGGAGCCTGTGCGAGGAACGTCTGGGCAGGGCATGGTGGCCTCTGCTTCTGACGTGTGCCCAACGATTGCTCTCCCT